AGAAAACTCTCTCTACATTTCCTCCTGTATCTGCTGTACTTGCACAACAATATAGGAACATGAAATTTCAGAGTCATTTTGATCTCATATCCTATCTATTTCTTGTGAAGAAGCAAAATTAACTACTCTTGCGCAATGCAAAAGCTCGTCCTATTGGAACTACAGTTCCAAAATCTCATGGACTTAATATTTCAAAGTCTAAGAAGAAATTATATAAACATGGGAAACATGCTTATAAGTATCAGGGTAGTCATAGTCAAGACCATTTCTATCCATATGGTAAGAATAAACATTCTACTATTAATTATAGTAGAAAATAAAAATCAGAGATGCATTCTTGCCATAAGTGCGGAATGATTGGACATTTAGCACATGCATGCCATACTTCAAAATATTTTATTAAAATATTCTAAGAAAATAAGAAATTACAAGCTGAGGCTTGTGAAGTTCATACCATGGATGCGTCCATGAATTCAATTGGTGTTGATGATTTAGAGGCTTATATGAATGATAGAACCTCTAATGATGAATCAAATGATGTGCTCATTAATTTTGCAACAACACATATTATCTTGTGAGATAGACGATTTTTTATTAAAAAATCTTCAACTTGGCAAACTAAAAATATGATGACTATGGCTAGAGCAAATGCGTTTTGTTTCCAAGAGGATACAGCAATGGTAAAATTACCTACGAGTTTCATCATAAAATGTAAACATGCGATGTTTGTACCCTCAGCACCTTGGAGTCTGATCAGCTACCGAGATGTGTATATTAATGGTTATCACCTCTCGACCACCACTTTAAATAAAAAAGAGGTTTTGGTTCTTGCGAAGAATCATAAAGTTGTTGAAAAAACTTTTGCTACAAAAAATGGTTTATACCGAATTGTGATTTGGCCTCTTATTATATTTAATTTTGCATCATCTATCTCAGAGAGTTGTGTTTCTCTCTGGCATGGACGATTGGGACATCCAAGATCCACATTATTTAGAAAGATCATTCCATGTATAACTGGGCACAATTTAAAGCCTGCAGATGTAGACTCTATGGAATTATGTCGTGCATGCGTGTAAGGTAAAATGATTACTCGGCCTTCAATTTGGAAACTTCCACAAGAATTACCACCAATACTTGAAAGATTGCATGGTGATATTTATGGTCCTATTAATCCAATATCAGGACCATTTTGTTATTTTTTGGTCCTTGTTGATACATCAGGTAAACAAGCACATGTTTCATTATTAACAACTTGAAACATGGTGTTTTCCAATCTTATATCTATGCTTATTCGCTTTTAGGCACATTTTCTTGATTATCCTATAAAAACATTGCGTATGGATAATGTAAAAGAATTTGCATCAAAGTCTTTTGAAGACTATTGTACTGCAACAGGAATCGAGTTGACATATTGTATTCTATATGAACATGCTCAAAATGGACTTGCAGAGTTATTTATAAAGCGTATACAACTCATTACCCGGCTACTCCTCCTTCACGCAAATCTACATGCATCTATGTGGGATCATGTAGTTTTACATGCTGTAGCATTAATACGCCTCCGCCCTTCTTCTCTTGAAATTTTTTCACCACATGAGCTCATTTCAGGTCGTGTTCCAAATGTATGTCACTTACGAGTATTTTGTTGCCAAGCTTGGATTCCAGTACCAAAACCTCAACAGCATACCATTGGAGCTCATTGACAAGAAAGCATATATGTTGGTTTTAATTCACTAAGCATTATTCGTATTGTTGATCCATCAACTCGCACATTATTACATGCATGTTTACAAAATTGTCGTTTTGAAGAAAATGTATTTCCATCTCTTCGAGGAGGAGTATCCAATCAACAAAGAAATAAAATGCTCATATTTGAAGCACCAGAAATGTTTACAATGAATCCCGATCTTAAGACATCTTTGGCAGAAACTGAAGTTACTAAGATTTTGTATTTAAAACGGATCACGGATGAAATATCTGATGGCTCTAATGATGCACCTAGAATTACAAGAGTTCATATTAATGAGGCTCAGAATGCACCTGCTCAGATTGCAATGCCATTGACTACAATACCTCAAGTTATAATAATAACAACTAAATGAACTCGTAGACCAAATAAGCAACCACGTAAGAAGAAAGCTATAAAATTAACTAATCTTGGTATTATTTTTCAAGAAATTACCACTCATCTTGTAGGACTACCAATTCATGATGATATATCCATGCATAATGTACCTTCAATTCCTATGAAAAATAATCTTGGAATTGGAAGGAATAAGAACAAGTTGAGTAAAGAATTATCTATTCTGTATTATGCTACAGATGATATTTGGGATAGACCATCTATTACGGTAGATGAATCATTTGCATATATGATTATAGAAGCTCTTTCTTGCGAGGAAGACGATCTTGAACCTCAAACCATCGAAGAGGCGATGCGTCGCTCAGATTGGTCAAAATAGAAAACTGCTATTGAGGAGGAGTATGCCTCTTTGCGTAAGAGGAAAGTCTTTGGTCCAATTGTAGACACTCTTACATCTCGCCCCAAAGGATATAAAATGGTATTAATATGCAAGCGAGATGTTCAAGGCCAAATAACTCGCTATAAAACTCATCTTATTGCTCAAGGATTTACTAAACGATTTGGCATTAATTATGAATCCACATATTTTCCAGTCATGGATTCAATTACATTTCGATATATTATTGGAATAACAGTTCATGCCACCCTTGAGATGCATCTGATGGATGTAGTAACTGCATATCTATATGGTTCTCTTGATACAAATATTTATATGAAAGTTCCATCTGGCTTAGAAATAGGAACTCCAAATCAACCCGCTCCAGGAAAATATTGTGGTATTAAATTATGTAAGGCCTTGTATGGTTTAAAATAATCCAAACAAATGTGGTATCAACATCTTTGAGATTATTCAATTACAAATAATATTATAAGTGATCCATTAATCCCTTGTTTGTTTATCAAATGAGATAAAACTGGTTTTATGATCATCACTGTATATGTTGATGATCTTAACCTAGTGGGCACTACATCTACATGTGTTACAACTACAAACCTACTTATATGTGAATTTGAGATGAAAATGCTAGGAAAAATAACTTTTTGCATTGGTCTTCAGATTATGCATCTAACAGATGGTAGCATTTTTCTCTACCAACTAATGTATATTAGACAAATCTTGCAAAGATTTAATATGATTGATGCTTATCTATTATCCACACCAATGGTTCGATGTGGTCGTGATGGTTATGATCCATACCGTCCATGCGAGGAGGAGGAAGAAATATTAGGAGATCAATATCCATACCTCGCAGCAGTTGGAGCACTTTCGTATTTAGCTACATCTACAAGACCAGATATTACATTTGCAATTAGTGTTCTTGCAAGACATAGTACACGTCCAACACTATGACATTGAAATGGCATCAAATATTTATTACGTTATTTAAAAGATATTGAAGACTTGGGATTATACTACACAAAATTGGCGGATCCAAAATTGCTTGGATATTGTGATGCAAGATATAAATCTGATATTGCAACAGCTAAATCTCAAACAGTATATGTATTTTTAAGACATGGAACTGTAATATCATGGAAATCAGTGAAACAAATAATAACTGCAACTTCATCCAACCATGTAGAAATTATTGCCTTACATGAAGCATCTTGAGAATATATTTGGTTGCCATCAATTGATAAATTCATTCAAATAACCTGTGGATTTTCATATGATGTTTCTCTAATTATCTTGCACAAAGATAATAGTGCTTGTATTACATAGATGCAAGTTGGTTTCATTAAAGGTGATAGGATAAAGCATATTAATCCAAAGTATTTTAGTTATACTCATGACTTGATTACTGATCAAGTACTTATAATTAAGAAAATTGAATCAACAAATAACCTTGTTGATCTCTTCATCAAAGCTCTCCCATTAAGCAACCATCATCGACTTACTTATGGCATTGGTATGCGGTGACTTGCTTTTCTTGAATATAAAAGTTAATGAATTCTTTAAATAATTAAAGAAAATGATGTTGTACTCTTTTTCCTTCATCTATGATTTTGTTCTTAAATAAAATAAGGTTTTCCTAGATAAGGTTTTAATGAGGCAACAATGTTGATCTTGCAAGATCACAGAAAAGTATAGATCATAATTCTATACAAATTTTATATTATGTAAATATTATGATGAACAAGGAGTATTGAAATCATTAAATGTAGCCAGCGCTCTCCATAATATTTACTGTAGACTATAGTAATTACCATAGCTATAGTATTTAGAGTATAGTGGAGAAGTAATGTTTATCCTCTCCTCTTTTCTCTTCTTGTATACGAGACACAAACAGATCAATAGATTGGTGTGTGTGAAGCTTTCTCTCCTTAGAAACCCTCTTGTGTGTATAACTTACTACTACTCTTGTGTGTGTGTATGACTTACTATTACTCTTGTGTCTTTCTAAACATTCTCAACAATTATCATTATGTATGCGGGTAATTATCATTACTATTAGTTTAAAGGTGTGTTTGTCGGTTTTATTACAGGGTGCGAACGTCCACTCGTGTATGTCAATTTTACCAACTAAAACCCCCATAAATAAACACGTTTGATTCAGTTGGTCACTGTCGTGATCCAGGATGCAAACTATTCTAACTACTTATTTTCATCTGAAAATGCCTCTATAGTTTTTGTATCCAACTCATTGTTGGCAGCTTTTTTCTTCTTGAGAACTGAAGTATTTACGACATGAAACCCGAGTGATTATTGTTTATACTACTTAAGAACTTCATTTCACTGAAAAAGAAACCCACTCATTAGGTTGGCTCCAAAGTTTTGTTCATATACTGTGCATGTAATTAGCATATCGAGGATTTTTCCGATAAAACCTAGCTTTGCCAATTAATAATGATGCATCGAACTTGCTGCATTGTTTGATGCTGTCATATTCATCACTGCGACTACACAAAGCAATTATTGAACATGTGCAAATTGGAATCCCAATTAAATATTTTGAGTGTACACACAACCAGTCAACAAGTATATAAAAATCTCTTGGATAAAAACAAAAGCAAAATAAAATAAAAACGTGAACAGAAATCACAATGAAACGTTCCATTCCGCTTATTTGATTGGTTCCACGATATTCGCATGCTCATGTGGTGCCCTTGTCCTCGAATGAGAAGACGAAGAATTCACATGAAAAATGCATGCAAGGGATGGCATCTGCAGCAAATGCAACAAACGGGCCCCACACTTCTTGAACTTAAAAGGGCCTCGAAACAGGAGGAGGAGCCTGTGCTGAGCAACGCTGTGCTCTTTGTGGTTTTGTTGGTATACGCCGAAGCTTATCCGGGAGGCACAACACAGTCGCTGGAGGAACCTTCGGGGTGCAGGAAAAGGGAATGATTCCCTGTCTAGTTTGGGTGGAGCAATCCGCAGCACCTGGTTCGATGGGGTCCCTCCTCGAAGGTGACTATCCGGATCGCCTCCTGTCCCTCCCTCAGTTGCGGGACCGCGTCGCTGGGCGACCCGGATTCCCATGGTCCAACGAAGAAAAGGACCAGGAATCCTTTTGTACGTCAAATGGGAGAGAGATCGAGAATGAGAGAGTCCCCCACTCCCAAATCCACATCACGAATGTTCCGCTCCTCTGGAACTATGAATGGCCGCTACATGCTTGCACGGCAGCACACCACCACATGCACGACGGTCGACAACCCGACACTTGGTCCAATATAGGCTTCGAATCTGCAGCCACCATGCTTCGCCGCATGCAATTTATTATTAAATCTGATGACCATAAGAAGACGAAGAAGCAGATGACGTAGCAGAAGAAGCAGAACGCTAATATGGCATTGTTGTGTTATTGTGGTTATTCGATAAGGTTGAAGTTAATATCCCAAGGTTACCAATCCAAAGACATAGTGCAACATTCACCCACGACGACGTTTTACTCTTGGTTGAAAGTTATTAGGAATCGGATGGAAATTGATGAGGAGAACAGCATGATACGACTTTCACTGTTTGAATGGTGATAATTCCTCTTGGTTGATGGAGAAAGGTACCGTAAACGTGAATCAAGGATGTAAACAGTTCCGGTGAATGTAGAACGCACACATGTAGCCTGGTCCAACTTCAGAAGTTTTCAGGATATTATTGTTTCTAATTTTAGAAATCCCTGAGGCAAATCTGCCAGACAACAACAAATCTTCAGCTGATGGAGGAAGAATTGGATAGAAATGATGGTGGGTAGCAAAGTTTCTACCCAGACACATCGAGGCTAAAAATAGAAAACAATGAGAGAGATTCGCATCCAACCAGGGCATCTGGCATTGCTCGGGCGTCGAAAACGCACAAATAATAAATAACAGGAGATATCTAAAAACGGAGGTGGGTGATCCGGACATCAGCTCGCGGCTTCTAGGTGCCACTGCCTTGCTAATCGAGGGTCCCTCGCGATCTGGAGAGGACTATATCCCTGCAACCCTGCCCTTGAGCTCAGTCGCGGGATGTGGCCGTAGATTCAGTCATTGTGCAGTGTTGGGCTGCAGAGCTGAGCTTCTCGAACGACCCTGACACCGGAGTTAGCCAATCGTGGGTCGGATTCGGATGCCAAGCTTTAAGGAAGCCATTGGTGCTTATCACTTGCGGATATTTTCCCCTCAGCGGATCGTTCCTGTAGGTGTCAGGTTTGTCTCACCTGGAATATGGAAACCCAACCTGATGCGGACGACGATGATCTGTAGCTGATCATGGAGCATGAGAGTCTGCCTTTGCATGTTGTCAACGCTGTTCTTGTGGGTGTATAATGGCTCTGCGGTTGCATCGCTCTTCTTTTCTATTTCTTTCTTCCTCTGCCGCTGCGCTCGGTTGAAAGGCCAGAGTTGCGGAGACACTGTAATCTCTGTGACGGTGGTCCTACTGGACCCTGCGATCCTGAAACGGCGTTCTGAAACTGGAAGTCTCTGCCCTTCACTAGTTGCGACATGAGCTTTAAGGCCTGAGCACGCTCGTGCGAATGGTTGTTGCGCGACGGCAGCTATCACCACTGCAGTCTCACGTTGCTGCTTCCATCACTCAGGGCAGCAATAAGAGCAGTTTCTTTAGATTACTTACTTCAGCTTTACTGTCAACAACCTGAAGGCAAGAAGAAGAAGAAGAAGAAGAAAGAAATGCGAAAGAAAATGCAGTTGCATATGTGAGCTGGGCCACGATTTTACTGCTGCACAAGGGTTAGTAGAAGTGGGAATCCATCGGCCTTCTCGATAATACACTATTATTCTAGATTTTAATTTCATCGTTCAACGCGCAAAAGAATGTCGACATGTAAGCATTACTGTCAACACATGTCAGTTAAAAACGAACTTTTTTGCTACTGCGAATGGTGAGGTGGAGTGGCAAGAACCTGCTCCTCCCATTCCCCTTTGCAAATGAACAGCTAACGCTGTTGTACTGGGTGCCTGCAATGTGGAGGATCAGCATCTGGTCTTCATGTGGCGCACGTACATAAGGAAATATTCGATGTGAGATAATTAACTCTGCAACAAATGATCCTTTTTTCTTTTTACCATCCGAGAGTTGCCTCTCTCAGTGCCTCATTCATCTCCATTGCTGAACACCGCCTCCAGTTTGTTTGAGTTTGAGTTTAATTTTTTAATTTCTATCATTACGAAACAAGGAAGCTTACCGTCTCTAGGGTGAGAATGACATTGTGATCAAAGTGATGATGTCATGATAACTGTGAATCCTGAAAACATGGGTGAGCAGTATTTATTATTTATTTTGTTTTGGGTTTTATTCAGGCAATCCAAATTAAGAGAAACACAAAAGGAGTTACAGTCAACTACGTGTGTTTTGTTTTTTTGTTTTTTTGTTTTTGCTTCTTTTTGTCCGCTAATCCTCTGGGCAGTTTTCGCAGAGGTAAGGTTGTTTAAGTCTTAATTGTTAATTTTCACATGCAACGTACTGTATGTGTAATAAGGTATGACTTAATTTCTGCTGTTCAAGTGAACTAGATCCACTCAATCCAACTCAACGTGATTTAGATGTATGATTTGTTCACATAAGGATCGTTGAAAATTCCGAGTGTGTAAGATGAGATGTGGCATGAAATTAATTGGGTGGTCTTTTCTTACTTTTTTTTTTTTTTTTTTTTTTTTTCTTCTTCTCTTTGGCAATTATTCAAAGATCTTAAATTCTCATGGGATTGATTGCACGGACCTGATTACGAATTTTTTCTTAATTAATCCAAAGTACACAACTCAAGACAAGACGTATACCTTACATTGCAATGGAATGATGTAAGTGTAGCTGCTACCTACAATTACTTTCACTGCACTTCTGGAACTGAGGTTTTTATCTATCCTGCCAAGCGTATCTGAACTCTTAGATACTCCACTACTTAGTATATGTCATAAGTTGGTTAAAAAGAATGCTGTTTATACCATACGGTGCACTGTATTAACTGGTAAGATTGAAAGCTTTTGAATGTTACAGAAGCAGTTGCGGTATGGGCAAGAGGAAAGATTCTCCAAGTTACTAGGTTTTTATTCCTGCTGTATAACGGTTATTCTCGTCACTGCTGATACACTTTCCTGGGGGTATTCGGACGTATTTATCTCATATTATATCGTCTCCATCGTAGAAGTACTACTCTCATGCGCTGAATTTCTCGTACATCACAGATTGTAGTCATTTATTTCAGCGTATAAAGTCCTCAGTGGATCTTCAACCGAGGATTTCATCTGTAAGTTATGTATTTTACAGAGCAGATTCTACTAATTCACTCGTGTAATTCTCCGCCGGTCTGGTGAAGGACGAGGGTGACTACTCTCCAATTAGACATGTGGTACATTGCTTATTATAGTGGAAAAAAGTGTATAAAGGAGTACATCTGTATTGACTTTCTCACGGTTATTACCAAGTTGTGCTGAAACCAGAAGATGTGAATTTGGCTTCGTTTCACTTCATTCTCATTCCCAAGGAAAAAGGGAGTTAGTGATCACGTCGCTAAGACCACCAAGTGTAGAAACAAATGGATTCAACAATAGTGCATGCTTCTTGTATGACTACCCAAGCAGAATGTTATGTCACATTACATCATCGGCAGAGTTGTGATGCAGATGTGGAAATACAAGGTATACGCTGAGGGCAGTCATTTTGTGAAAGAAGAATAATGCACAATCAACCTGCACAATAATTCCCCAATTTGGGCATTTGTGAGACAAAACATAAACTCAACAATAAATTTTTGAACGCGAAGTCATTTTATGTAATGTCATTTGCATCTAGCTTCGTAAAGTAGGGTATATCAAGTCTTCGGAGTCTTCCTACCAAAAGCGATTATAGACTGACAACCATTCCTAGTACGCCCTGGTGGCTTGATAAAAACTCCCCTTCGAAATTATTTGTCTAGTGATGCATGTGTTGAATATCAAAAATGATCGAGGTGGAAGAACAGGGATAAAGGATATTATGGATTGATAATGGTGCCGTAAGCAATCATGCTACAGCCATTTAGCTGGGTACCAATCCATGATACTTTGTGCCTTGAATGAGACAGACGACACAAAGGTCAGTGCCACTGTTAATCTTAAGGCATGAACAGAAGGCAAAGTACAGAATATCGGAGAATAGAGGCATCACTTCAAAGCAGCAGCATTCAACATAAAATATCTGCTGAGCTGAAGTAAATGCATCTTTCTCTGAGTAGAGTCATGAATTACTCGACGCAACTAATGACGTTCGGGAAATGCGATGCTCAGTTAAGAACCAACACTGTGCTTGAAGTAAAGCATCACAAAAGCACAAAAAGTACCGCGACATCGGAATCCCACTTAACCTAGAATGGAGCCGTCTCATATCAGTTTCTGGTGCAGTGAGTATCCACTTGTATCCAATTTCATATCGAGCCGTGTAGCACTATCTGAAGCAACTGCGATGCGCCAAGCATTGAACAGTAGTTGGTCAGTGCAAGCTATTTGCACTGACATGAAACCATGTGCACAATGAAACTACATCCATATCAATGTATGCCCAGAAATTTCTGATGTCTTTCGATTAAAAGACCAAAGTGAATGAGAAATGAAAGATATGTAATAAGCTAGAAGACATATCACTGCCCCCATTAAACAGCAACACGCGCATCAGATTACTGAGCAGGAGGAAATTGACCAACACAAATCATAAGTAGCGTTTGGAACAAACCTGAGCGACAACCCAGAACAGTCAATAATTCAAAGTGTCGGTATCATACCGAATGACTGAAGCAAGTACCCCACTTTACATATTTGAAAAAGGTGACGGTCTTGTGTCTCCAATGAACTGTAAGAACTTAACGTCAGCCTCCAAAAACCGAATACAGGCAATACCAATTGCGCTGACACCTGTAGTTCGATAAAAAAAGAAAATAGAAAAGAGATTGCATTAGGAGAAGCTAACGCCTCTCGCGAGGTCCTCATGAGCAAAATTCTATGAGCAGAATGTGCTCTAAGACGTTAAGAGACTCGATCACTGGGCTTCTTGAGTGAGAAGTTCGATGAACGCCTTCGCGTGCGGAAACTTCGCCAACAGCTCTGACCGAGTTCCCAGTTCAAAATCCTGATACTCAAAACCAGGGGCAACTGTACATCCCACTAAAGAGTAGTGCTTGTCAGGGTTCCTTAAGGCAGATTTCACTACAGGCTTCCCAGCGTTAGGAATGCAGTGAATGTCCTTAGTAGGATAGGCTCCAAACCACACGTTTGGCTTCTGTACGTACATCACCTTTTGCCCAGCCCCAAGATCTTGACCCAACACTGTGTGCGTCTCAGTTCCATCGTCATCTATCGAGTAGACCTGTACAACATAGTCCAGCACAATGTGATGCCCAACAACTTAAGGTGTCTGGACAGCTGCCTCGAAGGCACACAGAAGGGAAGATAAAGAAGAGATTAAAAAAAACAAGTACTTCAAAATGGTCAGCAAGGCACCCAACGTACGTTTCATTCGTGTGCAGCTGCAGATAATAGCAAAACGCAGAGAACAGAAACGGTGCATCGATAATCGCTACTGAAGATCTAGAAGGCACGCGCAAGTTTGTCGAGATAATGAAAAGCACGTTAGATGTCCAGGTGGAATTTCTATACCGTCAACGGCTCGCCGGCGTAAAAGTGCCACACTTCTGAAGAGGGAATGCGGTGCAAATTTGAAACATTCCCTGAGGGCATTAAAAAATAAATGGCTGTGCTCACAGGGCGCCCAACCTTGACTGCCAGAAATAACCAAAAGTATGTCAGTGTCAGTTAACCAATCAGTACTATCACAAGACCTTCAGCCCATATAACAACGAAAAAAACATCTACGCACAAAACACCGAGTCACACATCACGGCTCCTCGATTAGGTCTCCAGGAGCATGTGACACAGCGAAGCCCAAAACACAGTCCCAGCACAGCGGTTGCAAAGCAAGACAGACCCAAGAAAATCTAAACATCGAAGTACTAAAGTTTTGTCACAGCAAAAATCATCCACATACACAAGCAAGAGACACACAAACACAACATGAATCTAATCAGTGTAAACTCTCACATACAAGAATCTGGAAGGGAGCTTTCGTCGAGAAAAATGTCGGAATCTCGGAACGACTCAACAAAAAATCCGCCCTCCGGATGTGGCTGAAGGTGCAGCAGCTCACGAATCTCCTGGGATGTAGTCATAGCGAGGGAAACGGAGGCAATGGAGCAAACGAAGACTAGAAACAACAACGATGCAGCAGACAAACCAGAAAACATACTAACAACCCCAACAGAGGGAAGAAGCAACAACAATATCTGTAAGACCGGGATGGGAATTGTTAGCCATGGCCAACTCTACATACCACTAAATTCCATACAGAGTAGGAGGGAGACAGGATCATATCCAGAAACACCAGGTTGATATCACCATCGCAAAATCCTTGTGAGCTTCCCATCCCCCCCCCCCCCCCCGGTCCCTTCCGAGCCGTCTGGTCCTCTAGGGCTGACGTCACTTGGCAGATTTGCATCATCCACTCCTCTTTTACACGTGGAAAACTCACTTCCACGTCACACCATGCTACCCTCGCGGTAGGGTTTTGTCGCATCGTTGACGCGAGGAGGATGTATGAATATCATTCATGTTCTGCTTTTTCGTGGGTGCCCTGTGCTCGTGCCCATGTCTCTTTTATATCAGCTCCAGCTCTTGTGTTCCTGTTGACCAGTTCTTATCCTTGCACGTTTTATTGTGCTTTGCGATTTTGTAAAAGGTTTCTTTTTCTGTTATCTTTTTATCTTTTTGTTGGGAAAACCCCATTGTGTTATACTTTGGTTGTATATGATGTTTAAATATAATTACATGAAGATGTAGAATCAGGTTGCTTGCATTAGTGTACAGAGTGAGTTGTCAACAATGAATATAATATATTATCTTTTTTCTTTTCTAAACAGAACATAAAGTAAACTATTAACATTATCAAATGAAGTCATTTTTAAACAAAACTAATTATATTATGGCAAAAACATTTAAGAGAATGTTAAATAGACCCATCTTTTTACTAAATATACATTTTCTTGATGAAGGATATGTTAATCATGATGAAAGTGGTTGATTTTTACTGGTTATAGATCCAATTGTGGAGAAATGAATCTAAAGGTCATTTTTTTGTTCATGATGGTTAGGATAGGTGGGTAAATTTAATAAAATTTTGAATCTGTTAAATATTCTTCAATAATTATTGCAATTTTTGAGCATTATGGTTTACTGATTTTTATATAAATAACATATTATAATCATAGCTCATAAATAAACTTAATAGAAAAGAATCCTTTAATTAATAATTTACTATTTGTATCTTTTTATAACTAAATAAAATTATTTTTTTAGTCATTGAATTAAAATTTTTTTTTTTTTTTGAACATAAGATTGTATAAAAGAAACACATTGAATGCATAGTTGTTAAACTGAGACTTCTTGTACTAAACAAAAAATCAATTGATTTTTTTTAATAAATGTCACTTTTACATAAGATTTAATATAATAATTATTCTAAAGATCAAAATATAATGCTTCTTTCATGTTTTTTTTTGTAGAAAATTATAATACCACTTAAAATAAATGCTTATGATATCAATGACAAGGAATGCACATACTTCATAGATCAAAACCACTATATACTAAAATCAATGTATACATATCAAAAAATAAGAGAGTGGCTTAGCAAAAGTATAATTGTCTCAATCAATTTAAGTGACTCTCATGGCCTATTGGATAAGGCATTTGACTCAATTGTCTAGCCTTTGAGCTCCATGAAAATCAAAGGCACAACCTAGCCAAAGATCCGAAATTCAAGGAATAGTGAGAAATATGATGTTTTGAATATTGAATAAAGATTTATGTATTGCGCTACTATTAGTGTCCTAAAGTGTCTCTTTTGCAGAACATTTTGCATCAAATAAGAATTGATTTAAAAGAAATAGATAGAAATTTATTACATTGTTTTTAGGTGTTACTCTCCATTGCCATCAATCCAAATCCATAAATTAGCACTTTGATGGCTTCAATCTTTCTCCATTTCTATAGTATTTTTTGATGTCGCATACCGCCTTGAGCTTTTATTACATTTTTGGGTCCATCCAATCTTCTATGTTTTGTAATTGAAGGAATTTTATATTGAACCAAAGTACTTTTTAGATGGATACCAACCACTACTACCACTAATTGTAATTGATGACCAACAAGAATATGAAGTAGAGAGCATTTTGGAGCATTGCTACTATTGTCATGGCATTGGATGTCTATAACTTTAATACAAAGTTCTTTGAAAAGGTTATCGCATTCACGATGCAATGTAGAAATCTGCACAAAATCTTATCCATTGCCAAGAGATAATTTCAAGATACCATGGAAAGCAAAATAAGGACGTTCCACATTAATAGAAGAGGATTAATTCTAATAAGGTATAGATAAGATAATTATATAGATAGTTAGAACTATAGAAGTTGTTAGAATTAGAGTTAGGTTAGTGGATCAAGTAAGATCCACATGGAATATTCTAAAAAGAATTTAAGGTGGTTATCTAGATGGAACTTATGACATAAAAACATTCTAAAAAATCTAGGGTGGTAAGATAAGATATAAATAAGATTGGCCAAGGTCTTTTGGAGCATGTAGTCAGATATGACTTCAGATCTTTTTTCTTAGTAAAGTTTGATTTTACATCCTTTTATTTAATTCAGTTTTGTTCTATTTCCATTTACTCAATTTTTCTTTCATGTCATACTCTCTTCAATTTCATTCAATTTTGTTTTGGTCTATTTTGTCCTATTTTGTGATGAGGTTTTATGTTGTTGTAGAATAAAAGGATCTTATATTTTTGAGATAGTCTAGTCTTATTTCATGCAACGTGGGAACTTGTACAAAACCTCATCCATTGCCAAGAGACAATTTGGAAATATCATTAAGAACAAAACAAGGACGTTCCATATAAGTGGATGGAGATTAACTATAACATGATATAAATAAGATATTTTTATTATTGACACATAGGAATAGATAATTGGAATTATGCTTGAAAAATTATGGAAGTATTTAGAATTGAGGCTAGGTTAATAGACCATGTAGGATCCATTGTAGAACATTCTAGAAAGAGCTTAAGATGGTTATCTAGATAAGGCCAACTATAGAACTTTTTAGAGGGAATTTAGGACAATTATCTAAATAAGATCCATCATTTAAAAATATTTTAGAAAGTCCAAGGTAGTAGAATAAAGTATAAATAGGACTAGCCAAGGCTTTTTGGACAATTGATCAAATATGATTTTGGACCTTCTAATTTAGTAAAGTTTAACTTTTCATCTTTTTGTTTAATTTTTTTTTCTATTTCTATTTGTGCAATTTTGTCTTTTGTGACCCATTCTATTTAATTTTGTTAAATTTTATTCTAGTCCATTTTGTCATATTTTATAATAAGATTTTATGTGGCTTTGGATTAGAAGAGTCTTAGACTCTTAAGATAAATTGGTCTTGTTTTAAATAACGTAGATAGAAAAATCTTAAGTTGCCTCTATAGAAGCAGACAACTACAAGTCAACTCAAAACCTATAGAGCCATGAGACAACATTCACAAGAAGAAATCTTTAGAATTTGGATGGCTAACGATAGATATTACTTTAGACATGGTATCAATCATTCCTAATTACAACAAGACACATCAATAAATACTTTGTGATCCAAGACATTAGATCTTATAAATCTAAAATTCATTTCAAATCATGCCACAAAGTGGCATACATAGTTTATATCAATACAAAGACCACAATCATCAAGTAAACATCATAATCATTATGTACATGTTACATATCAAATCTATAATTAAATAACAAATTTTTTTTCTTTTATATAATTTTTAATACAAAGACCTTTTACATAGCTTTGTAAACCAATTGAAACATAGTATTTGACCATCTTATCATTTGACCACCAATCACATGCCATGTGCTAATGCATACAATGTAACACGCTCTTTTTTGGCATTTTTTTAAAAACCTTGGTGGAGATTTCAAAGAAGCATGGTGATTCCATAATCCTTACATTCCAAGTTTAAAACCTTGATTTAATAGTAAGGATTTAGTTACTCATAATATATGTTTGATTAAATTCTTATCACTGACTTAGTCAATTCAATAAAATTCTATCTACAAATGTTAAAATGAGAATGGTTGTTTAACTCAAGGCTACACAAAAAATAAAAATAAAAAAATTATATTTGGCATATATTAGAAAAGAAGGAATATTTTCAATCAAAATGGAAATTCATATTTTTTTATACTTTAAAAAAGATAGAATAGGATCCACTTTAAGCACTAAGAAACAAATTCAAAATCTCAACTATTATATTTTATTCACATTTTACATGCCATTTATACTATAATCTTTACATTACATTATGTTCTTCTTTTTGAAAATTCAAAATAAATATGCAAAGAAGGATTTTATTTATACTTGAATGTCACTCATAGATGATTATGTATAAGATGACATTCATCTATATACATAAGGTTGCTCTATCAAATACGAAAAATTCAATTGATTTTGATATTCTAAAAATATAGATAAAGTTACTACTAAAATATTTACTATAGTCAAGTTTTATTTACTTATTGTTATGTTTTTGTAGTGTCTCATACAATAATTGATTAAAAATTCTCAAATCTATTTTAAAGATGTATTCTTTAGCTTTGTATTGTGGATATATATAATTGTATTTTAAAAATGATATTTCTAAATTATTTCTTGACTTCTTCTATTTATAATTATAATATTTTATTAATTCTATAAGTATTCTTAAGAATATCCATACTTCTCATGATAATAGTTTAAAAAAATTGATTGTGTGGACTTTCTATTAAAACTATTTTTAATAGTATATGATTTTTAAAAAATATATATTTATTTAGTAATGTCAAAAAATCACTTACATGTATTTTATGTTGATTCTTCTCTAAGACTCTTAACAAGTCTTATTTTAGCTTTTTTCAGATATTTTTATGTATATAAATTTTAACTTTGTTTATGTTATTTTTCTATTCAAGATCTTTATTTTTTTAATTTTTTTTTATGGCACTAAGGTATGAATAATTTAGACAAATGATTTTTTTTTAATGATATTTTTGTTTTTTAGGTAATAGATTAAAGTATTTTACATAGGTTATCATGTTATACATGAAATAAAAATATAAGTTTATGAGACCAATACCCAATAGTTTGTAAATTAAATTGACATATAATATGTAATCAAATACTATTCCTACAGCAAATAATAATACTGTCAACCTATAATACAAATCTTTACAATTTATTACTATCTAATTCTTCATAAAATCAAATACTTCAAATATCAACTTCTGAGATTGAGAATGCACAAACACCAAAACCACAAATACAAATAAACGACTGGAGCAACTAGAAGTTGTACAGTTCATTCGAACACCACACAGTAGACCAAAACAAGCCACTGATACGAAACAGGTTTCATGTGGTGTGCTTGATATTCCCTTTTACTTCTACAGAGCACTGCAATGCTATCTTCATTACAAAGCCAACAGCATAAGAAAATTTCAGTTATGAGGTGAAATGCAGCTTTTTAAAAGTTTTCAGGAATCAGGGGCAGAACAAATCTGAAGCACAACAACATGAGATTGCTGTTTCGTTCCGGAGCGTGGGGGAGTCCTGTTTGCGGTGTATCAATCATCGGTCACTGTGTGAAATCCCATTTCCGAGGTCCACAAATCAGTAGCGACTTTCGACCAGAACTGATTCGTGGTGATCCGGGATCCGGAGCTGATGACGGTCACTCGTTCGTCATAGCAGCTGAATCGACCTGCAACTGATTGAATGGGTAGAAATAATCGTCGTGGGAGTCATTAAGCCGCACTGATGTTGCGATGTCATTTAGGAAGTTCAGGTTGGATGTCTTGCAGGTAACTGATGGCGGATTGTGTCCATTAGGGTACTGTAGTATTGCTGGAGTGGGGGTGCGGAGGATCGATCAGAGAGCGGGTCTTGGATATTGTGCGTAGTTTGCTGATTTCGATCAGCTGGGGGCTTTCTTGCAAGAGTTGCACAGTGCCAGTTGCAGCTGCAAGGGAGACTCGCCGTTTCCCATGAGGTCGTGACTATCGAGGCCCACACTTTCCGTCTGCAGATCACAACCGAAGCTCATCAGGGTTGTTTGTGGCACCAGACTTTGACCTCAACTTGCTCAAGGACATGCTAACATCCATTCTGCACTCTATGTGTTAGGTAACACCTGAATGAGATAGTTGAGCTGCTGGTTTTCCACAATGAGGTCATGACAGCGTTGTCGGAGAACTTCACAATTAGTTTCCGTTCGTTTGGCTTTCCCTCTTGCTCTGCGGTTTTGAAACCACACCTCCACTTGCCGTGGTTGAATTCCCAGCTCCGTCGCCAATGCGGCCTTCTGATGAGCGTTTGGCCGTTGCAGTCTCGCGAAAGCATCTTCGAGATGTCTCAACTGCGCCATGGTAAATCTTAGCTTCTGATTTGCCCCTGAAATCATAATCGAAAGTTGCAAAGAAGTATCAAAAGGTGCTTAAACAGTGCCACCAACCATCGATCTTCGGAAGTGATTCGAAATAAGGTAACCAACCATCCTTTAGAATTCTTGCAAAGCTGGGACAGACATGCGAATCCACCTTCATCATCATCGTATTCAGGGCTATTATCACTCAATCCACCAGGAAACACTGTCTTGAGGATGAGTCGTTGGTCAAGGTGAAGGTATTGGCGGGACCTTTGCGAAGAGTCATCACACTCACAATTGCCATTGCTTCCGGCGGAGAAGTCCTGCAAAGAAAAGTTAGATTACAGTTAAAGGTATCCTTTTTCAAACCAGTCGATTCAAATTCTGGTATCCTTATATGAACATAAAGAAGCTGCGAGATATAGTACAAGATATGTTTCGAGCAAAAGCCGGATGAATCAAGCCCAAACCCAGGCTGACGTTCATGCAACGAGGTTCAATGCAGTTACAGATTTCATGCAAGGTTACGCGAACATAACAATGAGTAGGTTTGCATCCAAACCAGCTTATATTTCCGATTAATTTCCCACATAGAATCTGATGCATCATCACTTTTCCAGTACTCACCGTATCGTTTTCGCGTCCAGGCAGCAATAGCTTGGTATAGTAATGATAATTTGAACCCATTCAAAATGCACGGCAAAGTCTTCGTTACCTTACAAACAACCATCCAAAACCTATTTATTTCATGTGAACGCCATGTGGAAAACAACTGCTTACATCTTTAACTTCAAAGTCAGACAACTTCATTCACGTACGTTCTGAAATTCGACTCATTAGAAGGGGTACAGCTCAAGAAGAGTGTCTTATTACGAATTAAAGCTTACACTTGTCCAAACTGAGGACCTCACCAGCAGGAAACATTCTTGACTTCGTAGCCACTCGATGATGAAAACGTGACACTCCTACAAGTACACTATCCCAGTTAAAGTTTCAGCTACACCCTTTAGGATTCATCTTGTGCTTGTTGGAAGCTTGTGCGCCGAAGTTATCCCCGTCACCTATCGGTGTACTAGATATTATGTTTATTCCTCACCTACACAAGTGCGATCACTGATTCAAGGTATCCATGACAACTGTAGTTTGGGCTGCCTGGCTAGAAGTATTTTCACTAAAGAAACTTGAAAAGCACTCTTCGATCGCCCTCGAAACCAAAGTAGAGGTATTAAAGTTCTTTGGCGATAAGTCAGCTTGTACTTGAACGCTGAGGTATATGCAAAGGACCGTAATACCTTGAGGCGATTGAGTAGCTAGAGTACTGGATTGCGCAACGGTTGGAACTAGGACTCTAAGTAAGAATTTGTCTAAAATGTCGATTTTGGAGTCCAGGAAACTGTCCTGAATGAGGAAAACTTCACTCGTTCGTTCCGTTTGCACCTGACCTCTATCTTCCAGTAACAATGGTTGTCACAGTCTTTCCAAGGTCGGGCATGATGGACACACACATTTAGCTTCGAGGACGAGATGGGGAGTTACTTACATGAATCTGATGCTTCGGCCGTGCAGGATGTTGCAGTGTCTAGGAAGCTACGGACATGTGAAGGTCAGAGGAGCCGGATGAGGTTGCGAGCTAGAGAGGTAGAGAGACAACTCTTAGGGATGACAACGCCCTGAGATTCTTCACAACATAAGGCTCATCTATTCTATGTAGGGTTCGGCAATGAATTTGATGGAGACGACAAAAGTGGGGCAGATACGCCAACCTAGAAGAGTGGTGAATATTTATGATTACGTCAGGTCCAGACTATCTCGTCAGAAGTTTCTAAAGAGACAGTAGTCCTCGAAAAGAAAACAAACAGTATGCAACGTCTCGGGTTTCCAGCGGTCCGACAGCTTACTCAGAGTTGAAATGCGCCGGTGATATCCAATCTTTTCAAGCAAGCCAAGGATCTGAAAAGCCCCTGTGTATGGTGAAAGGATGGATAATTGATGTATTGCAGAAATAATTGTTTCCAAGCTAGTGATAGTTGACAAGGTACTTGAGCGCAATGATAGCAACCGAATGTCCTCGCGGCCAAGGTTGATGGTGCTGGTCCACAGTCTGGTTATCATGAAAAACCAGTGAGCATATTTCCGTATGAGGCAAAGCACTCCCGACAACAGGAATGTTGGAGGGACTGGTCAGGATTAAAGATTCAGCAATTGGCAGCCCAGCACGAGACGACCTAGTTCTTGATAGAGCTCTGAGAGCACCACACGAAGTCCGTGATAATGACATCATGAGAAGCCGGCAATCCTTCTGCTAGTTTCACATTCGTTGTTAACAATAAGCCAATAATTCTGCTTCTTCTCCAAAAAGCTCTTCGAAAGCAAGCTGAAAGCATATTAAACGGCGTTCTATGTTGTGATTCGAATCAGAAGCACGACAATAACTCGACGGCAACAACTTCAGCACTGATCAAAGAAAGCTGGGTGGTGCCCAAACTCAACCAAACTGCCCACCGCTTTGTGCAAAATGGCTTTGTAGGGGAAATTGAGGTTATTTCAATTTATAATAGACTCTGCAGGGGAAACTGAGTCTCCCTCATACGTGTCACTCAGTTTGATGCTGGATCATTGACATTCAGAGAAGTTGAACGAACGACGTTGCAGGGCTGATCGATCTCAGATCTTGCTTGGACCAAGGCTCAGCAAGGATGCCTGCAGCCAAAACCAAGCTGCAGTGAAGCTAAGAAAGGGGAGAGGGGGAGGGTAGAGATAGCCAAAATTTGAAGAAACTGCAGTTCAGAGCTGTTTCAACTGAAGAGAGGGCAGGTCGGTGGTTCATCAAGGCACAAACCTCGAGTATACGGTGTGCTGCACTGAGTGAATTATTCAAAGCACAAACAGCAGCAAGAGAGAATGCTACGTTCCCTTACTACTACGTACCAGTCAGTGCAGTGCTCTAGTTTGCAAGTACTGGGAGGAAAGAGCAGCGAGACAATGACAGCAGCAGCAGGGAGGGAGTCGTGGTGACGAGGATCTAGACGCGAGGTTTTCTCATCAGTTCGCGCCGTCACGGATTGGGATCATTTTTCTAGTGAAACCTGCAGTCACACACGAAGGAATGAGGGGAGGAGGAGAGAGAGGGGAAGTGGATGGAGAAGAGGGAGAGAGAGGGAACCCTCATCTCATGTGCAGGCAGGTGATGGTAGGGGGTGATGACAAGGGTGGGTTCAAAGCTTTTCCAGGAGGAGGAGGGGGACACACGAGTGAGTGAGCGAGCGAGCGAGAAAGAGGAGGAGGAGGAGCACAAGGATTACATTGAGACAGAGAGAAGGGGAGAGAAGGGGGGGGGGGGGATGTATGGTATGCTATGGTATGGTCTGTATTAGTGAATGAGCCAGTAAGTAAGTAAGCTAGTTAGAAACTAAGTCGATGAGTCTCACTCACGCACTCACGCACTCACACACTCACTCACTCATCATGCTCCGACTAATGAAGCCGAGGCCGGGCTGGGTGTCTGTGAGTGAGTGTCTGTGTTAGGACTGTGGCTGGGCTGTGTAGGAGGAGGGCTTTGTGGATGGATGAATGGATAGATAGATGGATGGCTCCTCCCAATTTGCAATGCCCCCCACCCCCAATATCCCGCTTTCTTTCTTTCCTTCTTTTTTTCTTTCGTTCTTTCTCACCATCACCACCACCCCTGTCCTTTCTCTTCTCTTCTCTGCCAGTACCCTTTCTCTCTATCTTTCTTTTCTTTCTGTATCAGCAAATGACATGCAATCAAGTCATGACTTGTAACCCATCCCCCCCCCTGCCACTGTAACTGTCCCTGGGTGCTCTCATGATAATGATCCATTTACACAGAGGTCCGTGGATGGATGGATGGATGGATGGTTGGATGGTTGGATTCGTTGATATCATGGGTGCGAACAGGCGAAGTCATTTGAGGAGAAGTTTGTTTCATATTTCTCAAGATAGTTATTAGTCTCTCCATCCATATGTCAAAAATTCATCCACGAGTCCATGTTACAAGTAAATATAAATAATAATGATATTGATAACTAATGTCTGGGCATATTTGCAAACACAAGATAACAAAGAAATATAATGGATAACTCCTGTTAATACTATGCCATCAAAGCTTAACTTTTTGATCTGCCTCTTAAACTTCAATTATGCCCTTTTTTCTTTTCTTTTCTTTTCTTCCTTACTTTTTTCCTTCTATCTCCCTCTTTTATTTATTGTCTTATCTTTCAATTGTATATTTTTAATAAATAATAAATTTAAAACATTTAGGTTACAATAGTTTGAAGTTCAGCAAAAAGCTACTGATGTTGCATCTTATATATATATATATATATATATATACATGTATACACAGAATTTGTCTTTCATTGAGAAGATTTGTGCTGCATGTGGTGTTCATTTTTTGCAATAATTAGGGAAGTTTTAAATGATATTAATACAAAATATAACCAATGGATCTCATGGCCAAGCAAGCCTCTATGTGGGTGGTTGTTCATAGCTGCTATTGAAGGAAAGCCTTGTGAATCCCAGCTTTCAATACCTTGTCCTCCCTGGTACATAAATATTCTCTTTGATTGATATCCTATGAATTATTACAATAGTGATTTTTGGTTTATTTGCTACAGCAAATAAATAAAGAAATATTTTTTTAAAAAAAATAAATAGAAAAAGAAAAGATGGGAAAGGTAGCTTTGGAATGTTCTGCCCATGTGTTACCTGTTTTTGGGATCCATAAGCTTACATGTCAATATATTTTATGCCTAGTCATGTGAACTATATTCTAAGAGGAAACTCTTTGTTTGTTTGGGGACTAAGTACATGGACCCTAGGCTGGCAAACACTCTGTGTGGGAGAGACAGACACACACACACACACACAGGGCAGCCCATTCCCTAACAGTCATGAACTTCCATACTGAGTTCATGCTTTGAACCCACTTTCAAGTGAAAAAATAAAAAAATAACAACAAAATTACCCAAAGCCAGAATTGATCATAAGAATGTAGTGTTGTTTCTAGTTCATACTATTTATTGGGTTTTAGTTTTGCAGTGTGGTTTCTGAATTCAACTGAAGATGGCAACACAAATCCTTTGAGAGGAGGTACAGGACCCAATGCATGGAGCTTCAACAAAGGTCATGGTTAGAGTTAGCTGGCTATGTAAGGTTGGTGGGAATATGGAAGACAAATTTATTAGGGATTTAGATCCTTAGTGTTTGGTGCTCTAGATTGTGACCACCCACGTTGTTGCCACCATCATTGTAAGACTTGCACTTTGACTTAGCCACTTATTGATCACTCAAGACCCTAATGAGGATCCTTGAATCCCCAACTCACCCTTGTTTTTGCTCATTTATTTATTTTATTCATTATAACATTGATTATTCATTTATTTATTAAACGATTAGGGTACAATTGTTGATAATTCAGATTAAGCCCTCCTTCATTTCCATCTCTATGATTGCCACTGAATGGGCAGACCCTCTCCCCCCCCTTCAAAATAGACAGCTCATTCATCCCTTTCTCCCAATCACCATCCTCATTGATTCTTGATGACATCCACATTGTGACACTAAATCAAAACCCATGAGGAGGAGGACCTGAAATTCAATTAAATTAAATTAAAAAAATGAATCATCTAAAATGGAACTCAACATGGCTATGTATCTATCTCTTCTTCATTGCCATTCCCATATGTTGCTCTTATCTCCCCATTTCATTGTCACTTATTTCATTCAAAAAGATAACATGTAAAATTTATTTTATGTTGACTTTTCATCATAAAGAAAGAAATAAAGGTTTACTCTTCATTATTATTGTTATTAGATTTACATGTATATATCATTCTCTGTATATACATGTATTTGGTAATGTTTTATTAATTGGCCTTTGACATAAAACTGCCTATAATAGTAATGTTTATTTTAATTTACTTATTGTATATATTAATATTTTCTGTCACTTTATATAGGTGACATAAAATATTTAATTTCAAGGTGGAAATGTTTGATGATATTTTTATTATAAATTTAAACTTAAAGCAAGCAACATAGAAATTTATAGATTACTATTCCTAAAAATGCTGACTATGTTATTGACTATTTTTCTTTCTATAAAATTACAGTTCCATTAACTCATAATTCCACAAAAAAGGTATAAAAAAATAAAAAAGATAAAAAATAAAATCCTATATAGATATTTGATTTTCGAAGATTGATTGTTTGATTCAATTTTTGTTTTGATTAAAAATAGTTTTTTCTATTTAACTTATTACCTTCTTTTCAAAAAAAATAATACATATTAGATTAAAATTATTTAATTTTAATAAGCTATGTTATTAAAATCTTATACTATTTTTCTTCTCAAGGTGTTTTTTATTTATTTATTTATTTATTTTCTTTTCTTTTCTTTTTAATACATTAATCACTTGGAGGTTTTGACCTTTTTTAAAAAAATTATAAAGCTTCTAATTGATATCCTATGAATTCTTTTTCTTTTACTTTAATTTAAGTGAATTTATTTGTTATTTTATTAAATATCAAAAGAATAAAATAAAGACTACAGTTAAAGATACAATATAAGAAGGAAAAAATGCTTCAAGAATTAAAATATTTTAGTTGACTTATATCAAATATCTGATAATATACATTGCTAATCCTATTCAAAGTTAAATATGTGAATTACAAAACCCTTGGTAAAAGAATTTCTCTCTCTCTATATATATATATATATGTATATATGCACACATATACAAATAACTCTAATTTAAAAATTATTTAGTATTTACTTAGTATTTTTTTTAGTTTAAATGTTTCTATTCTGAAATTAGTATCTAAAAATATTTAAATATTTAAAAATCCCATTATACACAATCATCGTATTTATTTTATTTTTTTTAAAAATAAAATAATTAGAATTTAAAATACTTTTAAAGCGATATTTCTAAAAGAAACTTAAAATAATATAAAAATAATATTAATTTTAAAAAAAGACTTTATAAATTATTAGATAATTTAAAATATATAAAAATTAAATTATATATATATATATATATATATATATATATATATATATATATATTGAAATTTCTTACATAATCCAATAATAATATTCATAACTTATATTAAAAAAATATAAATTTTACAGATTACTCATATTAAAAAAATATAAATTTTACATATTACTTATATTAAAAAAATACAAATTTTATATTAAGGTTTGAATTTGTCAAAAATTTGAGATTTCATCATTCTTTTAGATTGGCTCTAATTTTTTTTATAAAAATACCAAGTTTCAAGAGACTTGAATTTATAAAATTTTAGATCTTATTAGAAACATAGCCATTATATTTTAGATTCCTAAGATAAAAGAAAAAATAAAATAATTCTAAAAAAACTATGAATTATATTTTTATATTATATTTTTTATTATTTAATAAGTCAATATAATATTTTAAAAATTTATTATATATATATATATATATATATATATATAGTAGAATAAAATTGATGATATGATTATATACATCAATAGTATGATAAAAGAACCAATATTTTTTCCAAATGTATGTGTATATATATATATATATAAAAGGAGTGTTTAAAGCTACAACCTAATGATATTAAAGCCATATTTTTTCTTTGCTATCTCATGATTGATTTCTTCCATCTTCCATCTCAGTTCCTTGTTTTTAGTCTCATGTCCCTATTTTCCTCCCTCATTCTATATCTCTTGTCTCAAAACCTCATCCTCTATATTCCTGTCTCAAATTCCTTCTTTCCTTCCTCTCTTTCATTTCTTGTCTTCTAATATTTTTTGAAGGTAATCAACTAAAACTAATACATTTCATCTTTGATTCTTTTAAGTCCCTTACATCATTATGTATTGATCAATTTTACTTTTTTCATTTCAACCTAAGATGTTATGATTCCAAGACCCTCATTATGAATGTGTCCCACATCCTTTTCAAGTTTTTTAGAAATTTTACCTAAGCTTGAATGAAAGATCAAGTATAGTAGCGATCAAAGTAGTGATCAATTACGCAGTATCAAAAAAAAAAACTCAAGAAAAGAAAATAAATAAGTGGGATTATTTTTAAAAAAAGATAAAAGAATAGAAATAAGTAAATATATGTATTCAAAAAGAAACTAAAATGGCCATTGCTAAAAGACAAAAAAAACTTAAGATCCTTCAAAACTAGACTAAAAGCAAGAAAAGAATTGATGAGAGTAATGAAGGCTTTATTTTTGCGTTCATATATATTATCTAACTAAGAGCTATATGACAACATATTATAGGACCTCCAACACATGTCTAATTTTTGAAACATGTATATAACTTTTAAGATAAGTTTCTTATATGTTGTTGCATTCCATGAAATTTTCTTGAAAATGCATTGAACATCTAGTTGTAGAAGACAAAATAGAATTTACAATAAGAAACTCCTAAAATTTTTAATAGAATTTTAAACAAAATCTAATTAAATTTTAACAATATTAATTAATATTTTATCAAATAAAAAATAATTCTTAAAAGAATAAAATAATAAATATAAAAAAATTATAAATTAACCTTAAAGAAATTTATATAATAAAGAAATATTTTAAAAATATTAAAAATAGAAATCTTAACTGAATCCTAATCAAATTCTAATGTAATCTTAAATAAATCTTAATCAAATTCTGTTTAAATATTAAATCATAATCAAATCCTAAAAACATCTAATGAAATCTTAATGAAATCTTAAACCAATCCTAAGCAAATTCTAACCAAATTTCAATGAAATCATAAACCAATCCTAAGCAAATTCTAACCAAA